ATCGGCTTCCACCAGATACAGATAAAGTAATTCATGCAAGAACAGAATTCATGAAGTTAAGAAAGAGATTTTGGCAGCGACAGTTGACCTTCGTACTATTTTCGCCCTGTTAATCGTCTTAGAGTTACCTAAATCGGCTTGAGCATTTTGCTAGTTTGCATGTTTACTGTCGTGTTTAGAGAGTCTGAGCCAACAAAGCTTACAGTAGGATTTTGACGTTTGAACTGCATATTTTAACTATTTTAAGTTTTGCTTTGACGCTTGTGTTCTGTGAGATTCTGGAAGTAGCGGTGACTCATTTTGCAATATATGAATTGTGTAGTTGTTAAGTTGAAGTTTCAATAAAAAGATTTTTATTTTAAACTTACAGTTTAAAATAAAATACTGTAGACAATCGAGAGCAATAAGTCGCTCTCGATTGTCTACACAGAGCCGGAAGTTAAGTCTGGAAATGCTCCGATTTCGTATAACCTTGTTTTCAGATATGAATTATTGGTATATCTGTAGTATTTCCTGCTTGTGTTGTTTAATATATATTAGCCAAACAAGAAAAAAATACCTAGGAAGATGAATATTATGTTAAAAAAATTAAAGTTTTAAATCTTCCCCTTCTCATCACTGTTATGCCCATCAGCGGCAGAGCGGTTAAGCCGTTGAACATTGGAAGTTCGGTCAGGCTTAAAGTCCACAGCCAACGACCTAGCTGAGTAGAAGGTTTCGTGATTTTCCTCATGTATAATGCGACAGTGAGGCAGTTTCCCTTTCAAAGTACTCCACGAAAGCACTCCTCTCCTTATGCAGATAGCTGTTAAGTTCTTTATTATACTCTAAATAATTCTAATTGTTGTTCAGAAATGATATTTCTCCTTTCTATGCGATCAAAATTATTCACAAAACGTCTTCCTTTTCCTGGACGCGTTTCTCGTCAAAAAAAAACCTTCGATTCTAGATAAAAATCCCGATGTTTCTGTTCTGGATAAAAATCCCGATGTTTCTGTTCTGGATAAAATCTTCAGGTTCTGAATAAAAATCCCAATTCTCAGCCCATTTTACTGTCAGCCTTTCAAGAATGAATTTTTCCTTTGTTTTTAATTCATTTTTTTATTAACAGACGGCGATAGGGACTTCGTTTTCAATTATTTTCGAACGTTTCGAATTTCTCACTGTTATTCTTCCCCACCAGGCATATGCTTCTTCGTTTTCTCTCTGCCAGTTGCAGGAGGTTATATTTAACCTTTGAGTCAACAGTATTCCACAACTAGTGCTCTTTAGTAATAAATTGTATTCGTTTTGTTCTTTGGTATATTCTTTCATTATGTAACCTAATTTAGTCTCAGACTGCGGGATTAAATTCCTGATTTAAAGCTCCCCGTGTTTAAATTCATTTTTCACATTGTCCCTGCATTGAAATTTCCAGATTTAAGGTAGTCATAGTCCTCCCTACAAAAGATAGAAGAATCTGCGGCAGAAATGTTAACTGGCAGCAAGTTGTTTTTCCTCCCCTTTCCCTGTTGCATATTATTTGTGAAGCGAATGTGAAGTTTCACAACGTTTGTTTTAGAGAAATCCTTCTACCTGGATTTTTCTCAACGTCATCAAGGAAGCTTCCCTTTTATCTTTATCGTTTTATCTTTATCGTTTCTAAATTCTGATGCCTTGTGCCTCTCTAAATTCTAAATTCGTGTTGCTGCTAAATTCTTCCTTCCGATGAAGCAGCGCAAATTGTACAGCCCTTGGCTGCGGCCCTAAGAAGGAGTGGTTGCGTCCTGTTTTTTTTTTTTTTTTTTTTTTTTTTGTATCGTTGTAATTGAGGAAGCGAGAATTCCGTTAATAATACTATTGTTTAACTGACGTTTTTCAGGAAATAAAGGGCAAAGGTAGTGAAAAGTATATTTCATGATGGCCGCCCAATGGTATAGTGGTTAGCGACGCTGATTTCCATACCGAAGGGCCTGGGTGAGGATCTCAGGAGAACGTATGGATGTTTGTAAATGTATTGTGTCTGTGCGGCATAAGGGCACTTTAAATACGCGGTGAGCTGAAAGTTCTTTTGAGAGGTTCGTGGTAGGGAAAGAGCAGGTGGGAGAACCTTGGACCCGAGCCTCTGGTGTGCTCCCCATCAAAATTGGAGGCGGAACTGAGCAAAGTCATACTATCACCTATATGGGGCTCAAGACTCTTACTAACAGCAGGTGAAATCTTGCCCTCATTGCCAAGAGGAATTTCATGGGCTTGTTCTGATGTTAATATCAGACAAGTAATATAAGTCTCAACAACAACAACAATATTTCATGATTGATTTACGGAGTTACGAACTGCATCCAAACACTTCGGAGCTCAGAGTAAAATTAGATTTTTGGAATTTTTAATTTAATTTTTGCTACCATTATTGCCCTTTTTTTTAAGTACAGTTTTTGCTATTAAAGAATTATACTCCGGCATCTCTTTAGTCTCGAACGTGCCGGACTATATACCTTGGACTGTAACTGACAAAAAAAATTTAAAGGAACGTTGGAAAATCGCCGTGCGCTTTTCAAGTATTTGTATTATGAGATACCGTAAGAAAATTCCAAAACGCCAAATGAATTCTCTGACGCCAATAAACTGAAAAGACCAGTCTATGAAATTTGGTTTTAAAATATAGATTGGCACCCTGAAATTCCCTAAAATCGGATACGCTTTTAAAAATAAGAATCCAGTGTATTTCATATTTTAAGGGAATATTTTATGTATGGAACTTTCTTATCGATAACCGCTTAAATTCCATAAATTTATTCAAAGAAACGTTTCGTATCAAACACATCTCCTTCTTAAGATGTGACACTGCCTCTTCGCTTCGCGAAAACCAATATCCACCTTGAAACCGTTTCCAAACAGTTATCTATGTTTGTGCAGTATATAGGAATTTTATTTCCTTTGGTGGGTGCATAAGTTTAGCAGAAAGTCAGTTTATTTTTGTCAAGCCTGTTTAATTCAGAGCAAAGTAACTGACAGTTTTATTAGAAACCAAAAGTAAACGTTTATCTGTGAAAATGGATAAAATCGGGCAGTAATAAATGAACAGGGGCTTGATTTCTAGTCTGACATAAAAGTGCGTCACGCTGATGTTGGTTCTGTCAGCAACGACTTGACTTCAGCCTAACATAAAAATACGTCATCTGGAAGTTATTTCTAATGTTGGCCAGGACGAGAAAAGTTTAATAGTTTTCTGACAGTTTCCTGTCTGCTGAGCATTTTCCGGCGTTGTTAGCACTTTAACTAATAGCGTACGACTAACTTTTATTTGGCTGGTTTAAGTGATAAAGCAAGTCGGTAAAAAAAGTTATATAAATATTATGATCTAATAGTTTTATCATAATATTTACGTAACATAGAATGAGACAAGCAGTACATTGTTCTGTCAACTTTCCAAATATTTTTAAATGTATTCTGTCTGTGCGGCATAAGGGCACTTTAAATACGCGATGAGCCGAAAGTACTCTGCCATCTAAAAATACATTTCATTTAAATCAACTGTATTATCGATACTTAAATACGCATTCTCAGTTTTAGGACATACAGACAGTTAAATAAGAATTTCTTTTGATTTATTACGTCAGACCGGTCGTTTCCGAGTTAGGCTTAGATATTTGTGATCATCACGTCTGACGGAGAAAGAATTCCTAAAATGCGTAGAAAATTCTTTTTGTATTCCTGGCTGCGAGACAATGCTGTACGAGACTTTCGAATACTTTCTTCCTTTTGATCGAAATTAGGATGCTGCTGCGTGTTTACTAAATTATAGCACAATTATAGCGCACTTACTAAATTATGTGCTATAACTATAGCACAAATTATAGCACATGTAGTATTTAGTATATACTTACTAAATTATAGCACATGCCGGATTCCCACGCACTCAACTTTTACTCGTCCACTCCTCCAGAGTTTTCTCCCCCCCCAGCTTAATTTCAGGGAATGTAAAAACCAATTCAAAATCTAGAACAGTCCTCAAAAACAGGAATCGTGCTATCGTCACAAATCGGCGAAGCCTCTAATTTTAATTTTTGATTATAAAAGCTTTCGATGTGGTTTAAAATACTTTATGATAAATAATTTTGCTGGATCGTAGGATAGCGAGGCGTTTGCTAAAGCCGAACCAATTTTAATGCACAAAAAATTGCATATAAGATTTGTATCTTAAATATTTCTAAAATAATCGGGGTTGTATATTTATTCTTTTCTGTTATTCAGATTGGTTTCAGAATGTGATTTTGAGCCCAATATTGTCTGACTCTCGATATCACTCCTCCACATCGAAGCTAATGCAGTATCTAACTTCTAAATTGCACTCGCATGACGTAGCAGTGAAATTACTGGCCTTTTCTTCTCCCTTTCTTTATATATACATTTTCCAAACGAATATTTCACACATTTAACATGTTTTGATACTTTTGATGGGGCTACTAGCGGCCAGGCTGTAAGACCGCTGAACACTGGTATCTTGACCCAGGATCATATCCCAACAAGTGACCTGGCTGTATGAGCCTTTTCTTGGTTTTATCCACGTTAAGTGAATGCAAGAGAATTTTCCTTTAAGACCACCACGAAGGCAACCATCCTCTTAGGCAGGTAGACCTCGCATGTTTTCCCGTAATCCAATCCAAAATTTCTTTATTTAGCAGAAGATAATTACTTTATATTTCAAATAAAATTAGTATCTTAAAAATATAAATTATTTTTGCTTAGATTTTAAATACCCTATTAATACCTATATTTATTTATTTATTTATTTATTTATTTATTTATTGAATATTGATAATATAGTAATTTTGAATATTGAAACTTATTCAAATTTTATCTTATGCAATCCGACAGGCTTTTATTAAATATGTTCTTGAATTACAGAAAAACAGTGAATACAAAAATTTCCTTTCTTATAAACACTCTGTTGTTCATTATTTTTATGCATCAACTGCGTATCATGTGCAAGATGAAAAGCATATTTTTTTCCCTTTCAGTTTACTAAGCAGCAAGTAATTGATACTTACACTGCTTTCATCAATAACTGGAAATCGGCAAAAGATGCTATCAAACTTGCTACCCACGCTAAGCCGGCATTTGCCCGATTTCTGGAGGTAAGTCCGGAACTTTCTTTTAAGTCTAAGCTTAGAGTTATATACTAGCCAAATTGTATTGTAACTCCTGTATTAAATTAATATAAATTTAAATATATATTAAAATTAATGTTATATTGATTTTAATATACATATGCGCGCACACACACGTATATCTGTTACGGTGAAACACCGAAATCTGGAGAATGTCGACTTTCACCGGTCAATGTCAACATTCACATAGTCGCTTGATGTATGTCCGAAATATTTTCCAAATACTCTTATTTCTGACTTACGCCGGTGAATGTCGACATTCGCCATGTACTAATGGAACTTAAGAATATAAGTTACTGTTTAATATTTTTACTGTTTTAATAACTTTTAAACTGTTACTGTTTAATAACTTTTACTGTTTAATAACTTTTTACTGTTTAAAATATAGCTGAGTGTTACCATCAGATTAAAGGATCCCATTGAACCAGTTATTAGTATGAGAAATTTCTGTGTTCACAGGAGCTTTTGAAGCATACCCACGTTGATCACCCACACAGTACACACAGTACATTCAAAATGAGAAAGGAAAATAATAGAAGTTATAAACTTACCAAATTATGTGATTCAAATCTTATTTATTGCAACAACTTAAACTATTATGACACTTTGAATTGCACAAGAGGCCCTTGCTTTTACAACTGCATTTATTTGTGGAACACTTCCTTTTGGAATGGCAGCGTGTACATATACTCCTCTCTTTTCGACCTACACCAGAGCATATCTGTAATTGTTGACATACACCGGTGAGGGTCCGAATGTACAAGAATGTAAAGAAATATTCGATCTTTCACCGACGTATTTGGTGAATTTTGACATTCTCCGTTGAAAGTCGACATTCTCCAATTTCGGTCTTTCACGGTAACATATACATATAAATATATGTGATACCTCGGTGTAGGTGATGTCTTGAGGAACTTCAAAGTAGCCTGGCTACATCAGATGTTACAATGGAAAATCGACTAATCAAAAAATGTAATAATTCTGTAGATGACTTCTATAATAAATTTAGGATGCGGGGCAGAGAAGACACCAGTTATTTTTTTATCCATGCCCGAGATAATTATAGATGCTGCTGGCATACATATGGAGTGCGCAGTAGAAGAAGAAACTTGCAGACGATGGCATACATAATAAGACACGTAATTTTATTTCTTGTCACTTAATTCTCACCCTCAACATTTTTGGGTACTTGATGCACCCCGCAATTTTTTATATCTTAGCATATCTGTAAGAAATGGTCGATGCGGAGCGGCAACGATGCTTGTCTAGTACCAAGCAAAGCGAAGCAGAGGAAAAACAGGCTGCGCATTTATAGCAGTGATATTTATAAACTTGATTTCTTTGTTTAAATTCTGATCTGCTATTGGATAAAGCTATCGCAATGCAGGAGGATTACATAAGCAAACATGAAATGGAAAGACGCAGTCCAGAAAAAGTATTATAAGAATTCAAAAAAGGATATTCCCAAATTAAAGCTAGTAATTTTGAGTTTCATATTTTTTTTCTTTATATATATATATATATATATAGTGGTACCTCAGTATTCGTAATCCGTTATAATATAACATTATTAAAAATTTGAGGGCTCTAGATACAGTTGCTTTTTCACAATGCGAGAAACATTCATGCAGATTCTTCATTATTTAGTTTCTTTAAATGTAATGCATGACGATAATATTTGGCAACGGTTTGAAAAATGAATCAGCGCAGAAAGTGACATGACTCAAAATGCTGTTTTGAAACTAATAGCTCTTTGTGTCTGACGCCCCTTTGGGCTAATAATAAAAAAAAATCTGAAAGCTTTCAGATTTTATATTGCGCCCAAAGGGACGGTTTTTTTTAACGTTTTGTGTGTTACCTTTATTTATTAAATAGCATGGTCTTCGCACTTAAACCATAGCATATCTTTAGAATTTCCGATACACAGTCTCGCGCGCTGGAGGTAATTCCCCCCCCCCCGTACAGTGTTGCCATTGCTTGTTTTGAAATCGTTGAATTTGTTAATCAAAAATTCGTTAATGTTTTACAAAATATGAAATAAATAATAAAACAAATTCCAGATTCCAAATTAGGGCTCCCAGATGCCCATATTCGAGTGGAGGACTACGTTATTCAAAATTTGATGTCTCTAGGTACCATTGTGTGAGAACAGTGTGAGAAACGTACATACATTTATGCAGATTCTTCATTATTTAATTTCCTTAAATATAACGCAGTGCTATAATGGCAACAATTTGAAAAGTGAAACGCCGTTTATAGTGAACTAACGCAAAAGGGCAAAACGAATTTAGTAGCACTTCTTGGCAAATTGCCCCTTTGGGCTAAAAAAAATACTTTTAGACGCAAAGTTAAGAATAGTGAAAGTAATGTAAGAGAAAATGAAAACACCATTTTAAAATAAATTTTTGCTCTGAGTATAATATACTGATTGACCATTTTTTTCTTTCAGCATATGTCTAGAGAGCATAAAGGAAAGCTAACATTAGATGCTCTTCTTATCATGCCTGTGCAACGTATTCCACGCTATGAGCTACTCATAAAGGTATGTTGAACATTTTTTCTCTCTTTTTACTGTTTAAAATATAGCTGAGTGTTAGCATCAGATTAAAGGATCCCATTGAACCAGTTATTAGTATGAGAAATTTCTGTGTTCACAGGAGCTTTTGAAGCATACCCACGTTGATCACCCAGATCACCAACTTCTAGTCCTAGCTCAGAAGGAAGTTCATGACTTGGCACTTAAGATAAATCGCATGGAAAGAGAAGCATTCCAGCAAGAGCAGATGCAGCAGAGAGTCCGAGAAATCGAACAACTTATCGATGGCGTGATGGATGTACGTATTATAATAATATATTTTGCATGCTGTCCTCAGAAACATTTCTGAATTAAGAAAGTATTATTAATTTGCATTTACTCGTTTTAATATGCCATCTTGCTAATTTATGGTCAATTCACATTTTAAAAGTTATATTTTGCTAATTTATGGTCAATTCACATTTTAAAAGTTATATTTTGCTAATTTATGGTCAATTCACATTTCAAAAGTTATATTTTATTCAAAATCTGAAAATAGAATATTGCGCTTAGTAATATATGTAAGGAATTTTCCCCTTCCCTACGGCGTGCTGTCATGGTGTAACTGACAATATGCCCGGTTGTAAACCGGAAAATTAGTGATTTGAATCTCGGCGAATTTCGCCCGTCTGTCTACAGTGGCGTCCGACTAAACGTCTGCTACATGATAATTTGTTACCATTTGAATATGGATGACGGGTCTTATTCCCTTTCCCCCCGACCACCTTTAAATAGAGGAGAATGTAAGGAATTTTCGGTTTCCCCACTGTGCGCTTTCATGATGTAAGCATTAACAAGTCTAAATAGCCATCGAAAGATCCGTGCTTTGAATTCGGGAAGGGCGTAGCTAATTTCTCGTGTTCCCTGCTCCGAAAGCTCTACATATTTATGTGGGATAATAAAATGTTAATAAAATAGTGCAGGATTAAACTTAAGTACTAGATATCGTTTGGAAATCGAACTCAGAACCTCTACTCGTAGAAGTAGCCTCTAACGCTGCACTGTTGAAGCTGATAGTTATTTTACTTCCGATAAGTTACATTTAAGCAAACTTTTATTGAGCTTGAATTTTAGCTGATTCTTTCAGAACAATTGCACATACTTTAAAAAGCATAGATACTTTAAAAACTTGCTTAGTAAAATTTTTCTTACAGAGATGTATACAGAATTAGGGATTTTTTGGTCATAAAATTAGCAAAACAATAACCTTATGTTTGGCATAGATTTTAGTCAAGACTCTATCGATCGAGGGCAAACGGGTACGGTACTTTCTTCATCAGGAGCAAAGAAACCTGCAACGTAGGAAAGCCGCGGTCCCAAAGTCAAAATTATGATTAATTTTCCACAATTACGATTATTTTTACTAATGATAGACGGAAATTTAATAATACTTTTGACTTTGGTTCTGCAAAAATTATCCGAAAATCTTCTTCCATTAGTGAATTGGATTTTCTTGAAGCGTTTCACATTCACAAATATTTATCTTGTTTAGTTATAGAGTCTTGACTAACATCTACACCAAACACTAAGTTGTTGCTTTCCTAATTTGAGACTTTGCTTTGCCTCTCTTCTCTCTTGATGTTTTAGGTATTTTATTTTCTTATTATGCTCGGAACGCAATTTTTACAAAATGTTTTGTAGAAACTGAATGCTACATATTCAAAATTAGATACTTACTGAAAGCAGCACATTTATTCTGATTTCTCGCTACAGTGCTTTAACCTAATTTGTGAAGTTAAAAGTAAATTTCTTTTTTTCTGTGTTTAGTGCACAAGATTTAACTAGAAAAAATATTAAATTATTTTCTTCTGAAAGCACAACTTTTTACTTTTTTATAGTACTGTTTTTGTACAGTTCAGTAAACCCAGTTTACTGAACAGTGCAAAAGAACTTTGAACAGTGAACTAAAAATGGTACTGAGCCATTTCTGCATTTTTAGCGTAAAACGCTGTTTGTCCGAACGAAAAACTTTTTTTTTTTATAATTCCGGGTAACTCATGGTTAAATTTCTTTTCATTAAAAAAAATGACAGTAACTTGTTCTTGAGCATATCATTTTCGAAATTTTATTATTTTGAAGGCATTTTTCGTAAATTCTAAAATTTCCATTTTTAAAAAAATTTGATTTAAATCACTCAAATGGAATAAAATGCATATGCAATTACAAAGCAACTTTTAATTTTTTTTTTTTGCAATTATCTTTTTTAAACTACTAGTATTTTAGTCTCATATCTGTTCCATCGATGAAGTTCAAAAACCGTATAACAAAGTTTTAGAGTCATTAGGCTTGCCAAAGCAGGAGACATGAAAATTGTGCAATGCCCTCGCCGGGGTTCAAACTCCCGGTCTCCCGACTGCCAGCCAGACGTGCTTGCAATTATACCACGATGGCATGCGGTAAGGAGAGGGGGGAGAATACCTTACGTTCTCCCTACTTAAATGGCGACTGGAGAGGAGGGGACTCAAACAGCAAATTCTGGAGATGACGAATTGTCGTTCACCCTAATTTAGTTCGGGCGCCATTGTAGCGTAATCAGGTTTGTCGAAGCAGGAGACATGAAAAATGTGCAGTGCCCTCGCCGTGATTCGAAATCCGGACCTCCCAGCTGCCTGCCGGATATGCTTCCAATTACACCACGAAGGTACGCGGTAAGAAAAGAAAAAATGTGAGTTATAATCGCATTTCTTCTCTGAGCATGCTTCTATTATGTAGTAGGTAATTAGAACATCCATCTAGCAATTCACTGGAAGATCCGTAGTTTCAGTCTTGGCAAAGACATAGCTGAGTTCCTATGCTTCTTGCTTCAAAAATGTTAATAGTATCTACAATGACATCCGAACTTTAAAAATGTTATGAACGATAACCAGTGAATGAACCATTCAATGAATCCAGTACCAGTCCCAAGTCACCCCTTAAATGGCAGAATGTAAGGAATTCGTTGCAATCTCGAGTGTTCTTTCTTGCGCTGTAAGTGATAGCATATTCATCTTACAAGTTGGAGCTCCTTGGCTCGAATCTTGGTTGAGTGCCCATTCGACGTATTTTATTTCCCGAACGAAAAAACTTAGTCCTCTACAAGATTATTACAGTTTAGACTTATGAATATTTGCAAAAATAAGTGCGAATTTTGAAGAGTGTAAACTAAAAAAATTAATAAAATTTAGCCATGAATAACCTATTCTCAGTTGCAGAAATCTTTTGGAATATAGCTAACATTAGTAGTACGTCCTCTGAGAATCCTTACAGAGTGGTAAAAATTCACGTGAAATGCCCCACAAAACATTTAAGTAATTCATTATAACCATTGCATTCATTTAACCAATTCATTATAACCATTGGTTCTTTCAATTATTTGGTAATTATAGACTTTTAAAAAATCTTTGCGTACAATATAAATTTTAACTGATGTAATACCGCGAATGATTATTGGCCCTTGATAGTCATCTCTGTTGCAGAGATCTAACAATTCACCACGTGGCACACATTTTATTATGGTAAACACATTTTTTATGACAGTGTTTACGCATTTTATTATGATAAGCTTTATGATATACGATTACCTTCAATCTCGAGAATCCGAGACTCGAGCGTTGATAGACCCGTGTAAATATGGACTGGAAAGCAGGAAAGGGGGACATTCAATCAATAAGTATCGTTGATTAGAATGACAGTGGGGAATAGGTGTATGAAGCTCTCTATTTCTCTTCTCTTGAGTGCCATCCGTTTAAATTAAGTTCAATGGCCTCTACAATATAATCAACAGCATAAGACCGTGGCCAAATTAGTACTCTTTACTAATTAATAAAGACTTCTCACGCGAACGAATGTGCGTGTTTTACCCTGTGCAGTAGACTCACGATTAAACTGGGGTCAACATCCACGGTTAATTCGACATCAGTATCCAAAAACAAGAACACACTACAAAATAGAAAAACCAACGTTTTGTTTACATTATTCGGTGTTTTTCGATAAGAGTCAATGAAAAATAGAAGATTAATACCTGTACCCTTCTAGAGAAATTACGTTATTTTGAAGAAGGAGAATATAAAAAATGAACAATGCCCTCACCGGGACTCGAACCACGAACCTCTTAAATAACGCCGAGTGTGCTGACCACTGCACCACGAAGGCATGCTAAGAAAAGGGGAGAAATACCTTATATACTCCAACTCCAACTTATCTTTATTTATTAAATGACAGGTTCTTTGCACTTAAACCATTAAATTCAGTTCAACAGCAATGTCCCAAAATAATTTTTAAATGAGTATATCTTTAGAATTTCCGATACACAGTTCCGGGCGGTGGAGATAAAAAGGCTTTTTTTCCCCGTAGAGTGTTGCCATTGCTCAGTTTTAAATCGTTGAGTTTGTTAATCAAAAATTCGTTAAAGTTTCACAAAATATGAAATCGTTAATAAAGCAGATTCCAATTTCAAATTTGGGCTTTGAGATGCCCATATTCGCAGTAGGATTACGTCATTCAAAATTGGATGGCTCTAGGTACCGTTGTTTTATCACAATGCGAAAAACATACATACATTTATGCAGATTTTTCATTATTTAATTTCTTCAAATATAATACAGGGCTATAGTATTTGGTGGCAATGATTTGAAAAGTGATACAGCCTTTTGGAGTTTTCAACGCAAAATCGCAAAACGAAAACAATAGTCATTTAGGAACAAAGCCCCTTTGAAGTAATAAAAATTTTTAATGCAAAAATTAAGACTTAGTGGGCTGTGATGCGCTGAAAGGATCATTTCTGTTATTAGATAATAAGCGAAGAATAGTTTTCTTTAGAAATATATATGCACCACAGTGATACTTCCAGCAAAAAAACATACTTTCGTTATGAGTTCATGTTGAGTATTGTAAAACTTTCGTAAACATAAGACATATATCTCGGACGTTAATTTTACTTCAATTAAAAAAGAAGAAGTCGAATGACACACTCTGAAAACATTTTATTGGCACTTGCTTGGAAATAAACAAATTGCTATTAGCGATCAGAACAAGCCATTTACAAGTACTTTAACTGTGGCTAATAAGCGACGTTCGCGCATATATATTTTTGTAGAAAACTTTTTGGCGCATTTTGTTCTAGAACGGGAAAGCAGAATTTTAAAGTCTTTATAACCAATGATATGTCTAAAAAATATAACTATATAATCTCTATGATAGTGCTAAACACCGAAAGTTTTCAAAGGATTTTTATGTATTTAACTGAAAATTCAAAATAGCCCTAAGACTCTATTTTGTGCG